GTAAAGTGCTTTGAGCCAAACAGTGAGCAAACCCAGCCGGCCTCACCGGGTGCCAGGGGCATCTGGGGGGGCCCCATTCAGGCTGCAGTAGTCAAGGGGGTCTCAGCTGTTCTCTTAAAGCCAACGAGCAAGTGCAGACCAAAAGAAGGGTAGGATCGAGGGTGCCTTCCTCTAACGACGTGTACGGTGTCAGCTCAGTTAAGGGTCTTTGGTTTAAAAAAAGAAAAAATAAACTAACCGACAACATGTGCCCATGCCCAAGGCTAAAGAGCGAGAGCTGCCACAAGACAGGTGGGGGGCCGGGAGAAACGATGCTCAGGAGGACGGGGGACGAGGCTTGTGTGTGAGGCTGCGGCCCCTGTTACCAGCCGCGTCGCCTCGGAGCAGGTTGGCAAAAACCTTCCCCCCTCGGAGGGACGGGAGGATGCTTTCACACGAGTTTACCCTGCGGAGAGAAGCACAACATCCCAGCTCTGTAGAGATGCAAACCGTGCGCTGGAGGCCTCGCCGAGTAAACCCGTCGTGGAGTCGTAAGTACCACGACGCGGAGGGAGCGGAGGAGCGCTCGTTAACGAATGCATCTGTCAGCATCGCGGATTTTTACGAGCCGGCCGGCTGTGAGCATTTCTGCAGCGAAACGAAATCAACTCCTTGGCATTTGGTAAACAAGAAAAGCAAGAAAAAAGCTGAAAAGAAACCCCCAACCATAAACATAGAATAACGGCTGAAAACGTATGTAGTGTGGAGACCACGTGACTTCATTTAACTAGCTTGAAATGAGGTTTTTTCTAATATTAAAAAGTGGCAACATGGTGTCATAACTGATGAGTATTATTGCAACAACGCAATCCTGTATCAGCATCAAATATGGGTTTAGCTAAGAGAATGTCCAGTGTTTCTTTGGTGTATGATAGTAAGAGTAAAGAGCCTGCGTGCTTTGGACAGCACAACACGAAACTTCTAGACTACCTACGAGTGGAAGCAGCATGAAACAAGCCAGTTTTCTACGCCAAAACTGGGTAAAGATTCACAACCAAAATCTGAAGTAAGAGAAGTTTGCTGTGTGAATTCCCGTCCATGCCGACTCTTCGTATTAAAAATATGGCAACAGAGATTAAAAAACATGTTAAAAATGCATAACTGTCATGTCCTGAATGAAAAAAATTTAGAAACACGCGTTTTTGCGTTACGCAAGACAGATTTGAAACACACACAAAACCGGAAACCCTGTAAGGAGTTAAGGAAACTGCATTTTGCACCACTGTCCAGACTGCGTGCAGAGCAGCCTTCTCTCTACACACAGCCCGATTCAAATGCTCCAAAATCCGGTTCTTCTTTAGAAAGTAGAGCTGGAGGCTGCCGGGTCCTTCTTCTTCAATACTCAACAATGCAGACAGAACCGAGACACAAAGTGCCGTCACGGAATCCGTCAGAAGGCGGCTAGCTAATTTACAAAAACGGTACCATCGCAGTCATCGTGGGTACATAAAAAGGTTTCTTCTGGTTTACAAAACGCGAGTCCCACCTTCTCTCTGTTCCAGGCTCTACTTAACTGAAGAACATGTAAGGTTTCCTACAGCATCGCTGGGGAGGGGGTTCCTGCCGCAGATCCTTTTCCCAACGCTCGTTAGCGGTGGCCGGTGTATGCCTTCAGCCAGGAGGTCACCGAGGCAGCGGCAGACGAGATCATCCCCCCGGCGCTGCTGCTGGCGATCGGCTGCGATACCTGCGTGCTCTGGCTCTGCAGCATCTCCGCCTGCTGAGAGGGGATGTCGCAGAACCTGGGGCTCGGCAGGTTCTCCCAGTCTGTCCCGAGGTCCGTCTCTTCGTCGCTGACGTGCTCGTCGCCGCTCTCGTCCGTTTCGCCGGCGGCGCTGGGATCCACGAACTCCATAGAGTCTTCAAGATCGGCGCTGATTTCAAAAGGCCCGGACCTGTGAACATGGGGACAACGCTGTGAGGCCACGCAGGAGAGTGAGCGTCACATCGCTGGAGCCCTGGGCACGCCAAAGCCCCCTACTCTGTCACGCAGACAGCAGAGAAACAAACATTTATTGGCGTGGCAGAGAGAAACTCACCGGCTACAGAGATAACCATGCGGTGACAACGCCGAGATGGAAACGGTCGGCCAGGGAAGTGACAGCCGGGTTCCGATCCATGGAGCAGGAACGGCGGAAGAGCCGTTCCGCTCTGGCAGTGGACAGTGAAAAACGCACACACACAAAAGAAATGGCCCCTGATAGTAACTCACAGTTCCACTGGTGGAAATCTCAGCCTGATGTGGAACAGCTTTTATTTTTAACACCAGCCCCGGCCAGGCCAAGCCGGCCGCAGCCCTGTCAGCGAGCACAAGGGTGTAGTTTACTACTTAGAGAACTGGGCTGGCACCGCTCACCCGTGGAGACTTCCCACAGCAGCAGCTTGCCCTGAGCAAGAGACCTCAGGATCTCACAAAAGATCAGAGGAGGCCTCGAAGATGATCAAGGGGCTGGAGCACCTCCCCTGCAAGGACCGGCTCAGAGAGTTGGGGTTGTTCAGACTGTAGAAGGCTCCGGGAAGATCTTCTAGCAGCCTTCCAGTACATGAGGGGGCTACAGGAAAGCTGGAGAGGGACTCTTGATCAGGGAGGGTAGTGATAGGATGAGGGGTAACGGTTTTGAACTGAAAGAGGAAGATTTAGATTAGATATTAGGAAAAATTTCTTCACTGTGAGGGTGCTGAGACCCTGGCACAGGTTGCCCAGAGAAGCTGTGGCAGCTCCTCCCTGGAAGTGTCCAAGGCCAGGCTGGACGGGGCTTGGAGCAACCTGGGCTGGTGGGAGGTGTCACTGGCCAAGGCAGGGAGGTTGGGTAGATGATCTTGAAGGTCCCTTCCAAACCCAAACCATTCTATGGTTCTGTGAATTCATTCTAAAATCTTTTTTACTGTAAAGCTGGTCAGACAGTGGGACAGGTTGCCCAAGAGGCTGTGGAGCCTCCACTGGAGAAAATCAAAACCCCACCAGCCACTACTCTGGTTGCCTCTGCTTTCAGTGGGGTGATGGGCTGGATCTCCAGAGGTCCTGGCCAAAGCCACCAGCGCTGTGACTCTGGGTTCCCTGCTGCCACTGCCTGGTGGCAGAAGCAATTGCATTGCAACGCTTTGCACTAGATGAGAGGCAGACAAAAAGTGAAATGCCTTCACCGAGACAAAGCAGGGGGTTCCTGAGCACCTGCGGTCTCCAGGGGCAGCGGTGAAAGGTGGATTCCCCACAGCCAGCAGCATCCCTGCCAAAGCTCATTCCAAAGCACAAAGCCATGCAATGAAACAGGAGCAAGAATTTAACAGGGGTAAGAGTGTTTCTCCAGCCTTAGTGGACCAAAAAGCCTGAAAAACAGCGATTTGGCATGGAAAATTGTAATCCAAACGATTAAACTTGGTTAAATTGTATGTATCTGAAAACAGCAGCTTATAAAGCAGACTACTGGGCAACTACAGGCCTAGACAGCTGAAGGGAAATAAGGAGAGCTGGTTGCTGCAAACTTTGCAGGCAGCTGAGAAATTAAAGGTAAGCAGTCTGTCATAATCTGGAAGGGAACCGAGCGCTGCCTTCTGGCAAAGGATTCTGCTTAACAAGGCCACATGAAAAGGGAGTCATCGAGTTTGAGGCCAGAAGGGACCATTAGATCATCTTGAGTGACCTCCTCCATAACAAAGGCCATTACGTTCTGCCCTGTCCTGTCCTGACTTCTGCCTGACGAAAGCGCCCGCTCCAGGAACTCCCCCAGCCTCCACAGGAGGAAACAGAGAATCCCTCACCTTCACTCCTGCGGGTAATTAATCTCCGTGTTAAGCGCATGCGCCTCATTTCAACCCAGCTCAGACTCTGCTTCCGATGGTGTTTATAAAGCCCTTCACAAGACTGTTTTTTCTCCCCATAAAGGTGTGGAAATCAAGTCATCTCTCAATCGCATCTCCAGCGAGCTAAGGCAGTTTTATACAGGCTTAACCTATGACCCTCACCGGTTGGTATGTTCTCCAGCTCCTTCCTGGAACCTCCTCTTTTACTACACGGACTGGACTGATGTGTGTGGAGCTCTGTAACATCTGCACAGAGACGCGAGACCCACTGGGACACTTGGGTCTTTTAAAGCAGCTGCTTTCCAGGCTACAGTCTCCATTCTCTGAGCTTTTTCTTGCACTCTCCTTGTTTTCAGGCAAGCAGCAGCAAGCACATTTTTTTTCCCCACCAAACTGAGCTACGTTACAAAGATTTGGGTCCCTGTATCTTTGGGCTGAATCAGTGGGGATACACCAGAGAATGGAAGGGAATTGGTTAGAGCAGGCGTTCAGTACCTCTTAGTGGCACTGCAGGTTTTAAATAAAACTACATGACAACGACATGGAAGAGTAAATTTCAGAACATTATTGTGCTTAAAAGGGGAATAAAGCACTAGCCAGATTAAATATTTGTGGAGTGTCTCGGGCACAAGTGACCTGTGACTGGATTATCCCAACAGGAAAGCAATGGCGTTGGCTTTCTTATATTTAAGTTGTAAAAAAACCCAACCAAATTAGAAGATTATTAAACCTGGTGCGTGCAGCCCACAGGAACTGATGTTCATCACATACTAAGTTCACAAAAACTGTCTTTGATCTTAATTTACATATAAATTAACACTATTTGAAGTGTCAACTTTAGTCCAGGGTGTTCACTGACTGGAAGTGTTTTGGGAAAGGTTTACCTAGTATTTGTTTTAGTTATTTCTATGTTAACAAGATGTGGGTGAGGTCATATTTGGAGCACGGTGAGACTGCCTGGCCTGGGTGCTGCTGTCCCCTGGAGGGAAGGGGTTCCTCCTTCTGGCTGTCAGGGAACCAAGTTCATCACCAGCTACAAAGCCTCCGGGGCTGAGCTTGCCACATGCAGAAACAGCAAACGCACATCTCTCAGATCCCATTTCCTACTCGGGACCAACTTTTTCTGTCCTCTCTTGGCTCCTCCTTGCAACTACCCTGATTTCTTGAGGGACTCATCTATAGGTAGAGCAGAAGAGAAGGATTTCCCTCCTAAAGAAACAAGGCAAAATGCATAACTTCAAAAGGGATCAGTCACAGGTGAGTCGAGATACTGCTTTTCTTACCTGCCCAAGTTCTCAGTGTCTGGGCTGACCAGGTACATAAGGTTCCTGAGGGTATGCAGTGGGTGCAACAGATCTAAATTTACATGCTACCATGGGGAAGGTAAGAAAAAGACATGATCAGTTACTGGAGGAAACCTGCAGGCACAGTTGATATTTTAAAAGCTTTTTCAAGCATCCAAATGTGCATCCCCCCTACCTGAGAGAAGCAAAGGTGAAGGATATTCGCATTCAGCTTCTTCACTGCCCGTGTGAACCTGTGTTTGCTGAGATTCTCTCCGCAGAACTCACTGTTGAAACAACAACATACACTTTTATACACATATACACACAGAAAGAAAAATGCTGTGAAAATACACCTGCTGGAGACATCAACGTGCCCTGGCTTCCTAACAAATCCCAGAGTAAACATCCTCGCAGCGAGCACTCGTTGGAAGTGCACAGCCAGTTTTAGAGCGCTCAGGGGGTGAATTTTTCACCTAGCAAGACTGCTAGCATTTCAGCAACCAGCACTGCTTGCCCTAGTCTCACCAGTTTCAACAGGACAGGTGATGGAAAGTGTATGAAACTTGAAGATCCGCAGCAGCCAAGCTATTTTGGCTCCCCTTTTAAATCTTGCATCATTTTCCTTCTGTGAAGACTGAGCACCCAAATGACAGCATTAAAGAAAACCTGCAGAGACCCTACACGTGCCCTCTCTCCGGCAACCACTATTTTGAACACTTAAAAGAATCTCAGCAGCATATTTGAGACCCCTGGAAGACCATCAAGGTCTACAGCTCCTCTGTACAGATCCCATGCGCTCCACAGAGATGTTAAAAATCTAACGGTGGTTTTCATCACAAATGGGGTTTAGGCAATACATTCCCAGATGTCTGACAGCCAGGTTGGTGTTTTACCTCAAAGAGAATTACAAGGCCTTGTTCTACAGCATTTAATGTAGGGGAGCTATTCGAGATGATTACGAGTTGCCGAACTGGGCTGGGATTTCGTAAAGCACAGTAGGGTCTCCTAAAATGAAAAGTGTTATTTATGGACTGTCATGTCTCATTTCTCATTCAAGGATGTTGAATCTGTCAGTTAGAAAGCTGCTATTTTCAGCTGTGATGGCTAGTCTACACTCTCAGGAGATAAAAAAGGAGAGAAGGACTATTAACTAGGGTCTAAAATCCTACCAGCCAGCCCTCCACCCAAAGTTAAACAGCACAAAAATCCAGGAGCCACCAACTGTTACCATAAAAGCTGCTCCAGTTAATGACTTCGTTCCCGAAACCAAAGTGAATTAAGATCAGTCACAACTGGTCACTGATTCACCTCCTCGGAGGCTTCCGTCTACTTGCCTGTTGCAGAGCTTCTTGGGAAGATTTACATCAAGTATGAGAGACAAAGTGTTAACAAGCTGAGTTGCATAGCACAATGCAGCACTGATGGTATAAGCGGGGTTATTATGTTCCATATCTGAAAGAAATAAAAACATCACGAAAGTCTCATTGTAAGCAAAGCCTCAGTGGGTGTGTAATGTTAAAACCAAGAAACCCAAGTCTACTCTGGAAAATGTCATTTCTAAGTACTGAGAACAGCCTGAATCCAGCAATCGCTTACAGTGAAATCTGTCAGAGGTTGGTAGAAAATAGTAATTCTTGGAATTCCTGTTAAAATGACGGCATGCGAACCATGTCAAAACTGTGAATAATTAACTTTATCTCTCTGTTACATTGTGCTGTGTCCCAGCACTTTCTGCAAAAGAGGATTTCAGCAGACTAATCCCTACACCAGCATTTATTTCTTGCTTGGGTTTGTCTGTGCAAGAACAAATGGACTGGGCTGCCGCTCCTCAGTACCTTCTGCTGGCACCCAAGGCTGGAAGTTCTACGGCTTCTGGAGTATCCCACAAGCCTCCTGGAGCCACCTTGCTCCTTACCTGGTCCTTGTGTGGTCTTCTTCTCTTCCACCCAACTGTAATACGCTGAGTAGTCTCCGTTATTAGGGAGAGTTATCCAGGGCCCTGTGATACTGATGCTGGTGTCCCCGTTGTGGTCGTCGCACACCCATCTCCCAGAGAGATAAGTGGTTCTCCTGGCTTCGGCGAGCTTGCTCACAGTGCTAGAGGTCATAGCATTGTCACTCTCAGAAGACACATCTGCAGGATCTCTGTAGCACCCAAAATGGAACAGAGCATTTTTAAAGGAGTTTTTAAAAATACTTGGCAGGCACCGAGCCAGGCTTCAGAGAGAGCAAAATGCTTGTAGAAACGCTCCTGCGAAACTCCTTATTCCCCAAAACTACTTCGCTTTGCTCTGGGATTTTTTAATTGTTTTCAAGAAGTTTAACACTGGACATGTACATACCTCAGATCTCCCAGTGGGGAGAGGCTACCACCTCCAGATTCTTCTATTCTGGACCTCTACCTTTGGGTCAGATTCTTTGCCTGGGGGAAAACCGCTCCTTCTCCCCAGAGATTCTAAGAAAGCCAGAGCATCAGACTTACATGACTCACTTCTGGGTGTCTAAAGCGAAGCAAAATGAGTCCAAAAGGACAAGCCTTCCATACCTCATGCTTGTCTTGACTTCTTCAATGGGAAATATGACTGATGTTAGCTCCAGGATATGTGTCCGACGAAGGTTTGCCAGATGCTCGTAATGGGTTTTCAAGTCGTAGGTTTTTTTCTCTACCAAGTCTCCCAGCTTGCGGTTGTGCCTCTGGATCTTCTCTTTCTTCTCCTGATGCCGCTGAGCCCTGCGATAATGCTTCTGGTTCTCCTCTTTAATTCTCAGCAGCCCCTCCGCATCTGTGAAAACAGGAGCAGATGTTAGCCTTGGAAGAGGGGCTGTGAGGTACTTGTAGTAAAAGCTCGAGAAAAGCATCATTAATATTTACAGAAAACAAGACCTATAGCAGCTTAAAACAGAGAACCCTGCTAAACCATTAACATTTTCCAGCTGCTCAGTTGTGCAACTTTTAAATCTTTGCTGAAGATCTCCAAAGAGACCGAAATTGGGATTAACCTTTCCCTATCTTTTACCCGGCTATTTCTGGATTTGGAGCAGAAAAGCCAAGATTTCACAGTTTAATTAAATTTCTGAGGCAATCATCGTGAGAGAAATAGCTTGACTGTACACGTCTGCATGGTGCTGGCCAAAAAGACACGCAGTGCTTGCAGCCAAAATCAACTGCAGATAGCATCTCCAGTCACCACTTCTGGCACCAATGCTGCTGTTAGTGTAGGTTATTCGGGCTTTGCACTCATGTAGGTGCTCTTAAAGCACTTGGATCCCAACGGTGCAGCTCCTTGCTACCACCAGCGAACGCTGACTATCGCCTTTGCCAGTCACAAAATGAGAACAAGGCGCTTAACGTACCGAGGAGCTGCGACTGCCTGACGTTACTCCATGCACCAGGAGCGCTGAGGCTTGGAAAAATATCCTTCAAGAGCATCTGCTGAATCTCCTATAAAATAACCTACCTCAGCACTGCTCCCACAAACATCTGGTGCTCAAGACAGTGAGGTAACCATCTCTGTCTTTCAAAAGCAGAGAAAAATATTCCTTATACACATTCTCCAAATACGTGTCTACAACTCTTCATGTGCCCTAGTTTGAATTAGAGACCTCATCTACTAGTCACCTGCTTGACGTTTGTACAGTGTCAGTGAGGTTCTCTTAAAATAAGACATCGTTTTGCTGTAATTGAGAAGTAGGATAACTGTCCCTCACACAGAAGGGAAGCACGAAGCCCTGACATTGTTTTACTGATACCGAGGCACAAACAAGACCAGAGCTACAACAAGCACGCTCCGTGGCATCTGCTACTCAAAGAAGTTGCATTAGACAGTACTGAAAAAAAATCAAGGAAGCTTCTGAGCAGCTATAGCTACCTCAAACACAACCACACTGTCCGTATTCCCAATGGGGGAGCATAAAAAATTAAAGACTACATCCAAAGAACGGGATTCAAGAGTGATTCCCAGCTGTGGGTCTGTGCCCAGGCAGCACACGACACCCTCCCGTTATTTCTGGTTTGTATCTGCAGAGCTGGAACCGCACTAAACTCTGGCCGGTCCCTGGTTTGGCAGGGTGGGAGACCAGGAACCCCTCAGAGCGCGCCTGCCCCCGTGGACACAGAACACGCTTTGTCTGAACATCAGGAAATTAAAGGCTGAAGGAGCTGAGTCTCTTTAGCTTGGAGGAGGCTGAGGGGTGACCTCATTCATGTTTATAAGTATGCAAAGGGTGCGTGTCAGGAGGACAGAGCCAGACTCTGCTCAGGTATGTCCAGTGACAGGACAAGGGGCAACAGGTGCAAGCTGGAGAATGGAAGGTTCCACAAAAACATTAGGAAAAGCTTTTTCCCTGTGAGGGTGACAGAGCCCTGGCACAGGCTGCCCAGGGAGGTTGTGGAGTCTCCTTCTCTGGAGACATTCAAATCCTGCCTGGACACGTTCCTGTGTGACCTGCTCTGGGTGATCCTGCTCTGGTGGGGGTTGGACTAGACAATCTTTCAAGGTCCCTTCCAACCCTGAACATTCTGCAATTCTGTGAAAGAAGGAGAGAATAGTTTCTCCATGCAGACAAGAACTAATGATCCTCAGGTTTATAAAATAAGTGACTCCCTGTTAGAGGAATGGTAGAAAAATCGACTTTTCTCTGAGCAATACCAAGAATCCCTAGTTGTGAGCTAGTAATTCAATTTTCTTCAAGCATTCCTGTAACACCAACAGAAAATCAATTAATGCTTGCATTTATATTCCCAAACCCTCCCTCTGCATAAAGACTGAGAGAGAGAGAGAGAGAGAGAGAAGTGTCCATCTGTTTCATTTCGTGTTGTACTCTGAAAGGCTACTTTTTCACAGCCTGAACTCCCTTTTCTGCAGGTCCAAGGGCAATTACGGGAGGAGCAGGGGAGAACGCTGCACACACATTTCCTCTTTATCAGTCCCGGTGCAGAAACAGCCGCCCTTTCTTTGGCATAGCACCTCTGCTTTATGACCCAGTTTATGAGGTGATTAAAATTTGTCCCCAGAAGTATTTCAGGACACTGCTGTGTCCCACACATCTACGCTGCCTGATAAATGCACGCACAGGCACAAGAGAGCTATTCCAGATATCTGCAAGATTTTCTCCTTGAACCGTTCTCCATAGGCAGAAGGAAAACACACAGATTTTAAAACTTGATTTTAAAAAGGCGCCAATTAAGCAAGGTATTCAGGAGAGTCAACTGCAAAAGCAGGAGCCTGGCGTTCTAGAAAGCGTTCTTATTTCAGAGAACAAAACCATGCCACATCCAAGAGAAGAGAAGCAACCTTTTCACATTTTCTAACGTGGTCCAAGAGTGGACCAAGATGGGTTCTTGACCTACTGGCTACTCATGGCAAGAGCTGGCTTTGGGTCTAGTTGCAAGAGCGATTTTGGGCCAACGGAGCTAACAGCAGGTCAGCTGGGCAATAGTTAGGTCAGCTCGTGGTGTAAATCTAATCGAGCTCACTGGGAACCAGAGAAGTTGCAAAAGCTGCAGGACAGGAGAAAAGTGGAGGAACTCCACTCCCCAGTTGGTCCCAACATTCTGCCACCTTCAAAGCAGCATTCTGAGAACAGGTGACTAAGTTCCTCAGAGTCCCACTGACTCCCTCTTCTCAGTCTAAAAAGTAGTTATTAACCCCTTCATACTAATATTCTACAGACTGCAAAGCCGGCTGTTCCTCAACTCCTTCCTCTCTAAACCAAACCAAACAGCACGTCCTTAGCTGTCTCTTGTGTTTTGCTCCTCTTTCCCACACTTTCTGCAGTTGATTTGCATCTTTATTAAATTGCTCAAATTGGACACCAGACTTTCGGTGGGGCAACACCAATGTCGGTGCAAAACAATTTATTCCATCTTAAATACGACGCTTAAGAGTAGCCTCACACAGAATGAGGCCTGAATCTTTCTGGAGCAGCATTAGATTGATAATTTTTATTTCAGTTGCAGTTCCCTGGATCCTTTCCTGTCAAATCTCACCAGCACCCCTCACTCTGGGTTTATACATTTCTCCTTCCTAAACAATGTGCACTTGACATTGCCCTTTCCAGGTGATGTTGTCGATTTAGCTGCATGATTTTGAATTTGATCCTGTTCTCCACAGAAGTCCTATCGTCATCCACCTTGGCTTCCTCCATTCCTCCTTCTATTTTACCACGCAAGCTATTACGGGAAATATTGAACAAAACTGGGCCAGGAACCAGTTCCTCTTGAGCTCCACCTGTCTCACCTCCTCCGTTTGACAAGTATCATCACTCTTTGAATGCAGTTTTTCTAGCCTTTTGTGTGAGCCTCAGAGTGATTACACTCAGAGCAAATGCCTTTGCTTGCTCCTGAGACAGCCTAGGGTAGTGCCCAAAGGCAAGGTATGACACTGCTTCTGCTTCAGCCTCCACTAAACCACTGGTCCGCAGACAAGAGGTTAATTTGACATGGCCTATCCTAAAAAAAGTGATGCCTATTTTTAATTATCTCATCTTCTAGCCACCTACAAAGTGGCCAGAGGATGCTTGTGTCCTCAGTTTAAGGTTCTCCCTTTCTCTGCCCTTTGAAGACCAACACTGCTTTCACTCTGTTTCCTGGGACGCCCTTTCTCCTTCGTGTTCTCACATCAGCCACAGACCACTTCAGCTTGTTCCCTAAGGTGAATCTCATAAGGCCTTGCTGACACACTTAAAATAATACTTATCTGGCTGTTTTCCTTCCTTGAGCTGCAGTTCTCTCAAGATGTAATATTTAACCTAGCTAAGCAGCTGCTCACATTCTCTTTGCAAGAAGATGAAGCAAAGAAGGCGTTGAATGCTTCGGAGCTCTCCGCATTCTGATTTGCTCTCTTTCATGTTGACTAACAGTCTTGCCTATTCCTTCACCTTTTTCTTATTCTTACTACCCATCTTCCTTATTAACTGAAAATCATTTTGCATCTCAGCCTTTCTGATGTTATCACTACAAGCTTGTGCTATTCCTTTATAACTACTCTCAGGTTCCACTCTCTGTATGGCTCCTCTTGAATTTCAAGTCATAAAAGTGTTCCTGATTCAATCAATAAGTTCCTGAGCATGCTTCCTATCTCTCCTTTCCATGTCGGTCGTTTGGAGCGCTGCACATTCTCTTCTGAAAAACGACCCTACAATTCTCTCAGGTAAAAAATGTAATGAGTTTCAAAACTGAAGCTGCCGAACAGTTGCAACTCGCCAGCTTATGCCATACTTCAGTGGCTCTTGCTCAAGAAGGCTCGCAGGATTTCTAGACAGGTGTGGGTTAAAATCCATCAGCTACATGAAATTCGTAACAGCTGCCAAGCTGTTTGCTCCTCTTTATCAGGAGGAAGTGATCAGAAACACTACACTGAACAAAGCCATCTCTAGGGACAAAGCCAAAGTCGCAGGCTGCTACGAATTTACTTTTAAAGCTGTTGTAAAACTATCTCCATCCAGCTGAATAATGTCTACTGTTTGCTAATTAAAACTCAAGCATAAAGAGGCTAAAATCCACTCACCGATTCGCCTTCAAGTTGATTTAGGCAGTGATGGTTTGGAAATTCACCATTTAAAAAAAAATAAATAAAATAACGCTCACATTCACATCGATTGATTTTCCACTCTAAGGCACAGAGTTTTCCACATCGCAACAGCTCAGGCATTACTCACGTCTCGTGATTTCATCATTTTCTTTGCAAATGGTCTGTTTCAGCTGCTCAATCCTCATCTTGCAAGACATTATTTTCCATCTCTGAAAAAGAACATTCAGCAACTCTAGGGCACAAACGACTTCAAACACACTGACTAATGATTAACAACAAAGCCGGCAGCTTTAGTGCAAAAGTAGCAGGAAATTCTTAATTGGATCGGGCGAACAAATAAATATTTCATAAACTGTTTTGTGCATGGAAGAACGCCACAAACAAACTGAATGCTTAGTATAAAGTCAATCAGTATAGTAAGTTATTGAACAAATATCTAGCAAGAAATGAAAAATATTGACGGTTTGGAGCACTCTGCTTGCAGAGCCAATTTCAGTTTTGCTTACAACACGCTTTTTGGGAAAGCAACACAATGCCCTCGAGGTAAATGGTAATTTTTAACTATGAGATCTAGGAATTCAGAGAGTTTAAGAACTATGGGACACTTTGAACAACTCACCAGCTGATCAGTTATCTCCTTCCCTTCCATGGCCTTCAAAACACTAGACGAAAAAACACAATTGAAAGTTTTATGACTATCTGGACTACGTCTGTCTCCAGCAATAGCGCATTAGAAACACTGTGGGTTTTTTCTAAGAGTTCTTAGAGATTATTTTTATTTAATAACTAGAACTTACTGTTTTTGGAATTCTCTCTGTTTGGTTTTAAGATGCATCAGCCTTTCTTTCTTGTCTGAAAACCTGGAAGAGATTAAATGTTTTTTATTGATATTTTGCACAATACGGCATTGTCACCTGTCTGAAAAGATAAAAAAGACTTGTGGGATTCTCTAAACCTCATCTATCTGCCTTCATCTCGGGAAGCGATGGCTAAACGTATAAAACTCTCGCACAATCCTAGAGCCCGTGTCTCTCAGGAATTGCAACAGAACCTCAAAGTTGAGGAAACATCAGCTTGTGTTATTGAACTCATAAGCAAACGACTTGCTTTTTCTAGAAGATGCATAGCTTAGCAGTATCAGCATTCTGTGTATTCAGAAAAACATATAGCACTCTGGAAACCTGTAGTCACTGGAGAAATTAACGGTACTGTCTCAGGTCCCGTAGTGAGTCTGGACTGTGTTCCTTCACAAGCTGTGACAGTATCACCCGAGTGCACTCGGGCAGTGGGAAATGCAGCTCTAGGAACTGCAAAGACCTCATCAGGAGGGAATTTTTTAGGATTCATCATCCTGTGTTTTCACCCTCCGAGTTATGCCGCAGCCATGTCCTGCTCCCCTCCATATTCCACAATGTACTGAGAAATACATTTAAAGGAAATAGCACGTGAAGGGGGCACACCGAGAAATTACAGTGAACTGTGACGGGACAAAGCTGACATTAAGAGCAAACAGCAAGAGAGACAGCCAAGAGATTTAGATGGCATAAAAAAAAAAATAGAATAGCAAATGTGCTTTCTGTCTTCTGCCAGCGCATGGCTTTCCAACTTTCCTTTGTGCTTGTGGTGTTACAGCACCATCCTGATCCACGTCTCAAAAAAGTGTCCTGGGTTAAGTTCATGTATGGAAAAACAATTCATATTTCCCTCTGGAACATGCAGAACTGAGAATTTCAGCCTAACGTTTCACATAACGCCACTAAACCCTTTATTTCAGGGATATGTAAGCTTTATTTAGAAAGAAATATACAGTAATCCTTGACAGAATGGCCTCTCTGCTCAATTCCGCGGGTTTGATTGCAGGTAAAACTCTAAAAAGCTTCGCTCCTCTCCACGAAGTGCTCAAGCCTCAAAGCTTGGTGACTAACCATGGGCTCAGAAAGCACGTAATCGCCGTTCAGGATGACATCACCATTAAAACAACAACAAAACTACCGCCTGCTGCCTTCGTAGTCATCCTGAAATATCTGCTTTCCTTCCAAAACAAACCAAAAGCAAACGCGGGCGCTCGGTGTAAAAAGCCAGAGGCCACGCATGAGCCAGAGGAACGTGGCGCAACCGGAGCCTGCCTGCCCGACCCAGCGTGTTCATTCTTCCCCCGCGTCCTCACCCCGCCAGCCCCGATGGGAATTGCAAAAGTGCACTGGACTAGACTCCTGTTTACGCACCTACTGTACCCCTGACCTTTGGCTGCCACCAAAAATAACCCGGCCCAGAAACCACGCTGCTCGGCAGGCACACACGGGAGAGAGCACCGGGATAATTCTGGCGATTCTGGATTTCAAAGCTGGATTAATGGGCACGGAGTCTGACTAAAGGCAATTACCCAAACGACGTCCATCGCGTCAGCAAAAAGTCCAACGATCAGTCAAGAATCTGGGACTGAAGGAAGTTGTTCTTACCGAGGAGGGAAGAGAGGAAGGTTTGTGAAAGCCTGCAAAAATTACAGCTGACAACTAGGAAAATTACAGCTTCGACTATGTCAAATGGCTCCTACAAACTTCTTCAGCAAATGTTCTCATTTCTTCACATAGCCCTAATTTTGATTGCATCGTGTTGTGTAGCTAACTTCTCTCTGTTTATCTACAGCCTTTCAGTTTGGCAAAGAAACAAAACTTCGGGTGAACTATTTACAGGAACTCCCATGAAATGTAAACTGAGTGAAGGAGAGACCTCAACATCTCAAATTAAATGTTTCCCTCCACACAAGTCTCATCGCATTAAGCTGAGGTTTTCTACAGTTAACAAGCTTATTTCCACATGCTCATAATTAGAGAGAAGCATCCATTAAGGAGGACTTTCTAATCTGTAGGAAGTGATTGATGCTGAAGGGATTGCTGACGACAGCAGTTGGTGCATCTATTACTGGACCTATTCACTATAATAAAACTCCACCGCTGCAAAAAGTCACTGCTCCTAATCATAACCCACAGCTCAGAGAAGTCAGACGGGCTTAGACATCACAATTATATTGTCTTGGGCTTTTGCCATCTGCAGACACATAAAGCGAAGCCATTTGCTACGCCCGTAAAATACACCCTGAGAATTTATGCATGTGACAGGCTGGGGTAAACTCCTGGGAGCCAGAAGAGTCTGGGAGCTGAAATCAGCATCAAGATGCCATCTTCGCTTTGAATATACAACATGTTGCTAATGAAAAGAAGAATGTCGGTGATTACTTTACTGGAGGACTTCCGGACAGCTCATCCTTAATTGTAGCTGCACTTCAACAGCTCCTCGGTCTCTCCCCCTCACAGACGCAGGGTGTGATTTTTGTCAGACATATGAACAACTTGAATCTCATTGTAGCTTTTCTGAAAACGAGCACACAAAGTGGTCCAGAGAGAAGAAACCTGAACTAATTCTTACTTGCAGAACAGGAAATAATTTATCTTCTTATAAAGAAAAATCACGAGAAGATTCTAAAAATAAATCACCGCTGGATACGAGGAGTAAGGCTCGCTTTCTTTACTTTTCACAAGAGAGAGAACGATCCTTTTCCCCAATCTGGAACACTTTGAAAAGTAAAATGGGCGGCCCGAGTGACCCCCACATGCTGCCCTGCTCCGAATTTCTCACAGAGAGCTTATAACTGAGTCATGCAGAAAAGCCCTTGTCGTGACCCTGTCAGCCTCCTCCAGCACCGGCCATAACGTCCGTCTAAAATTAACCCAGGTACTACTAGAAGGCATAAAATACACAAATAAATAATGATGACAGTAAACACAAGCTGAAACTCAGTCGGTGAACTGCACCTGTCCCTGCACGACTTTGCCGCGGTGCACGGTCACTGTTTCAGATTCCCTCTCCCTGTGCTCACATCGCAGGGAAATCACAGACTAAATATTTCAAGCAGAGTTTTAAAAATAAGTAATTCCATCATCTTCAAAAGAAGAAGAAGAAATCTAAGCTTTACAGGGCTCCGTCCTGTAAACGGTGCGCTCCTGCTGCAATCACGCACGCTTCTGCTCTTCCTGTTGTGTTATTCGTGTGCGTTATATTGTTCCTTTAACTCACTAACGCGAAGCTGCTGTTTTCAATGAATTGCACCACTGCTTGGGAAAGGTTTGAGCAGCAGGAGGAACAAAGCCTGGGGAAACTGAGCGTACAGGGAGGCCCCTCAGAATAGACTCTAGGAGAAGAGAACAGTAGTGGTCCCCGCAGATGGAGCCATGATGCCAAGACAGAGGGGGAAACAAAGAAAAAAAACCTTAAAAAAACCAAACCAAAGAAACTTGCTTCCTCTCGCTAAGACACACGACGTAAATATACTGAATATTTTCTAGCCACAGAAGAGCGGAACAGCTAAAGCATCTTAGGAGGATGCAGCGAAAACTGTCAGACAGAAAAGCTGATCTTGTCTCACATGAGAAGAGATGAGGAACACAAAAGTTTTTCTTACAAACTGTTGCCTCCGGTGTATTGGCTAAAGCTGCCACCTCCCAGTTTTGTTTTTCTGATGGGTAGGGAAACTTCTCAAGCCTTGGTTAATACAGAATGACAGAGGTTCCGCTACAATTTCTATAGTTAAGCCTGATATTTAACTCAAATCTTACAGCTATGAAAGGGGCAGGAAAAAACCAATTTGGCTTATGTTCCAAACTCCAAATCTAATTTTTTTAAGATTTTTTTTTGCAGATAACCCTGAGCAGTCTCACAGAAGCAAAAGTTTCTCCTTGTGTTTGGCAGAAAGATGCGAAGAGCCTTTGGTGCGAAGGCCCTACCGCGCCACCCGCCGCTCACCACCTTCCCAAAATAGTGCAAGAAATCACTCTCAACAGCTGCTAACGAAGCCACAAACGAAGGACCAAGAATGCGGCATCAGCCAAAAACCGGAGCTATTCTGGAGACGGCACTGGGCAGACTTTCAAGCATTTGGGATGGACGTGGTGTGGATGATAGCTACAGAGGGGTGATCTGCACCTGAGTCACATAATGAGAATATTTGCTTATTGACGGGAGGCTCCTTCAGCTGCCGTCCCCGACGCTTTGTGAAAAAGGAGCAGGAAGGTGCGGGACTGACTCAAGCAGAGTCTTTTTTGTAATCCTGAAAGGGCGCCTGTGACTAGGGCTATTTATACTGATATAATAAAAACCCAAAAAGGTGCTGTTTTCTTGCACACCTTCCTGATTTAAAAAAAATTTTTAAAAGACTACCGGTTTAAACACATGCTGCTCAAAATAAGCATTTTGAACATCCTACCGCACAGCTCTCTTTTTTTGGTTTGGTTTTTTTTTTTTAATTTTGGGGGGTTTTTTGTTTTGTTTTGCCCTGAACTGTCTGGAGCTTCTATCAGGTCCATCAACGCCAGCAGGGCTGCGGGCACCTGCCCCTTGACTACGGGAAAGTCACAGAGGGGCGCCAGATTAATTTTTTGTTAATTATTATTATTTTAAGCAACGTGTGGTGGG